TAGCAAGCGGCCTTGCACTCACCAGCTAGTTTTTGGTGATTGTTTTAGTGAGACGGGTTTCACCCGTGTTAGCCAGGGATTGGTCTCGATCTCCTGACCTGTGAATCACCCGTTCGCGGGGTGGCCCTGGTTTCCCAAGGCGGAGTGCTGGATTACAGCTGGCCACCGGCGCCGGCCTGCCTTCTGTTCTTTTTCTTTTCTTTTCTTATTTTTCTTTCTTTCCTTTTCTTTTTTGAAATGGAGTTCTCGCTCTTTGTTGCCCCGGGGACGCTGGGAGGTGCAATTGTCTCAGATCTCGCTTGACTGCAACCACTGGCCTTCCCGGCGTGGTCAACCACACGATTCTCCTTGCCTCAGCCTCGGCTGGGGTAGCTGGTTGGCCAGGCTGGTCTTCAACTCCTGACCTCAGGTGATCCACCCGCCTAGGCCTCCCAAAGTGCTGGGATTACAGGTGTGAGCAACTGTGCTGGCCAGATCTTTCCTTTTCTAAAAGGCATAAAGTCCTGTGGATGTTGTATTTATTGAATTAAGACTGATGCTTCATGTTCTTCAACAGACCAGGAGAGTTTATCTTTCTTATTTAATAAGGTTTTTTGTTTTGTTTTGTTTTGTTTGTTTTGTTTTGCGACAGGGTCTCACTCTGTCCCAGACTGGAGTGCAGTGGTGCGATCATGGCTCACTGCAACCTCGACCTCCTGGGTTCAAGCGATCCTCCCTCCTGGTCCTTCCGAAGTGCTGGAACTACAGACATGAGCCACCACACTCGGCCTATACTGGCGCCCGCACATACGCCCGACCTAAATTTTTTTTGTATTTTGTAGTAGAAGACAGGGGTTTTGCCATGTTGGCCGAGGCCTGATCTCGAACTACCGACAATCCAGGTGATCTGCCCCTAGGCCCTCCAAGTGCCTGGGATTTACAGGGCGTAAACACCCAAGCCCATACTTTTAGTTATTTATTTATTTATCTATTATTTTATAACAGGGTCCCTTGCCTCTGTCACCCAGACACGGAAGTGCAGTGGCACGATCTCGGCTCACTGCAAACCTCCTCGAGCTTCCCAGGTCTTCAAGCCCGATTCTCCTGCCTACAGCCCTCCCAATAAGCTGGATTAAACAGGGCGCACACCCACCACTTCCGCCTAAAAGCATTTTGTAATTTTCTAAGAGACGGGGTATTCAACCCATGCCTGGTCAGGCGTGGTCTCGAACTTCCTGACCTAGTGGACCCGCCATCCTTGCGCCTCCCCAAAGCTAGTTGGGTTACAGGCTAAGCCACGTGACTGACCCTGGCATGGGTTTTTCAAATGCTCTTGTCCACACTTACCGACTCCGGACTCTTGTGGGAGTCTTAGTCCTGATTTCCCACACGTACCTTCTCTCCTTCCTACAAAATACAGAAAAATAAGAACAAGTGCATGTGAATGCTTTTTCTTTTTTTTCGCGCCCCCCCCCCGACGGAGTCTGCGCTCTGTCACCCCAACTGGAGTGCCAGTGGGCGTCGATATGGCCCACGCAACCATCTGCCCCAGGCCTCCAGTATCCTCCTGCCTCAGCCTCGCCACTTAGCCTGGGATTAGCAGGCGGTGTTGCCACCATCCATGCTGCAATTTTTGGTATTTTTCAGTGGAGAACCGGATTTGTTCGCCATGTTGGCCAGCGCTGGTATGGACACTCCTAGGCTCAAGAGGGGGGGGGGGGCCAAGTGATCCCTCCTGCTGGGCCTCGCAAGGTGCTGGGATTACGAGGCGCTGAGGTTACCTGGGCTAAATGCCAATAAGTGAGTGATATACAATTCTTCAGCTAAAAAACGCCTAGTAAGTAGGACCCAGA